ACTCCAGCCTGGCGACAGAGTGAGATGGAAAAAATAAAAATAAAAAAGTTCTATAGTTTTAGGTCTTAAATCCATCTTGAGCTAATTTTTGTAGATGATGTAAGGTAAGGGTTCAACTTTATTCTTTTTCGTGTGGATATTCAGTTTTCCCAACACAATTTGCTGAAGACATTATCCTTTTCCCACTGTGTATTCTTGGCACCCTTGTTGAAGATCAGTTGCTTGCATATGTATGGTTTTATTTCAGGGCCATTTTGTTCCACCTGGTCCATATGTCTTTAGGCCAGTAGCATACTGTTTTAATTACTGTATTTTTGAAATATATTTTGAAATCAGAAGTTTAATGCCTCCAGTTTTGTTCTTCTCTCTCAAGATTGTTCAACTATTTAGGGTCTTTTGTGATCCCACGTGGATTTTTGGATGTTTTTTTCTATTTCTGCAGAAAATGCCATAGGACTTTTTATAGGGACTGCACTGAATCCCTAGATTGCTTTGGGTAGTATGGACATTTTAACAATATTAAGTCTTCCACCCACTAACATAGGATGTGTTTCCATTTATTTGTATCTTAATTTCTTTCAGTAACATCTTACAGTTTTCAACATACAAGTCTGCCATGTAAATTTATTCTTAAATATTTTATTGTTTCTAATACTATTATAATGGAATATTTTCTTTTTTCTTTTTTTTTTTTTTTTTTGAGACAGAGTCTTGCTCTGCTGCCCAGGTTGCAGTGCAGTGATGCCATCTCCGCTCACTGCCACCTCTGTCTCCCAGGTTCAAGCAATTCTCTTGCCTCAGCCTCCAGAGTAGCTGGGATTACAGATGTGTGCCACCATGCCTGGCTAATTTTTTTATTTTCAGTAGAGACGGCGTTTTACCTTATTGGCCAGGCTGGTCTTCAACTCCTGACCTCAGGCGGTCTGCCCACCCTGGCCTCCCAAAGTGCTGGGATTACAGGTGTGAGCCACCACGTCTGGCTGTCAAATTGATTTTTGGTTTTTTAGTAAGAACTATGATCTGTATACTCAACACAAGCTTATCCTATTATTCCAAAACTGAAAACTATAAACTTTCAGAAGTGAATTCATCCAAGTAAAGGTCAAAAATACTAAATAAACTGCTCAATATCACACCACAAATTATCAGAAAGGCTGATGCTAGATCCTAATGAGAAATACGTAACTTCTGTAAAGTTGTCTTTCCAGGAACTTATGCATAATTCATCCTACAAAGTGTCCAAAAATATGTGGGGAATATGTGTATATACACACAAAACTGTTTACTGTTCATAACAGTGTAAAAAATCTAAATTGTTAGATTTAGACAACTGGTAGATACATGGTACTATGGTAAGTTCATACAAAAAAAATAACTACTACACAGCAGGCGTGGTATCTGGCTCCTGTAATTCCAGCCACACCAGAGGCTGAGGAAGGAGGACTGTTTGAGGCCAGGAGATCAAGACCAGTCTAGGCAACATAGCAAGATCCTGCGTAAAAAATAAAATTCAATAAATTATTCAGGCGCGGTGGCACACATCTCTAGTCCCAGCTATACAGAAGGCTGAGGTAGGAGGATCATTTAAGCCCAGGAGTCTGAAGCTACAGTGAGCTAAGATCGCACCACTGGACTCCAGTCTAGGTGACAGAGAGAGATCTTTAGTCTCTTTAAAAAATATATACATATATACATGCACATATATATACATATATATAAAATTACACACACACACACACACAATGCACCACCTCCTAAGGATATAAAAATATTTTTTCATTAACATGGTCGCAATTTTTTAAGTGAAAAAAGTTTCAAACTTGCACATAAAGTTTGATAGCATTTTGGGGACTATGTGTGTATATACATACACACTTTAAAAATCTAAGATATATACAAAAATGTTAACATTTTATAGCTTTTATAGTGATTCTTGATTTACATTTATCTGTATTTTCTAATTTATTTACAAAGAATACACATTCTTCATGTATTTTCTAATACATTAAAATTTCACATCTTTAAAACAAAGAGCTCGATTTTACAGACAATTCTCAATTCCTCACATGTGATTACTTGTATAACCATCATTTGAGGGAAAGGGTGGCTTTTGCTCACAGATGGGCCTTCCTCCCTACAGTCAGTAGTCTGAAAGTTGTATTTCTCTTAGCTACATTTAGTCCCTGACTCTTACTTATCCAATGGTCTTAGGTACTTTCGAAGGCGTTTTCAGGATGAATGTAATGCCTTAGCCCCTATCCCTCTGATTAAACTTCTTTGAGGTGCTCCCCATCATATACACTAATGGACAGAAACAGTGAGTAATCTGTTTTGATTCTGTGGTCCATTACCAAAAACACTTTCCTTCCTAGGAAATGTCTGTGACCAAAACAAAAACATAATCACTTAAAAATCTGAGCTCTTCCCCTCCCTTAAAGAACAACTCAGTTCAACTATTTGATGGGGCCAAATAACAGACATCTGTACAGGCAGGAGAAGGCGAAGCCCAAGCAGAAAAGGGTGTGTCTGTGTGTGTGTGTGTGTGTGTGTGTGTGTGCGCGCGCGCGCGTGTGTGTGTGTGTTTATGCATGTGTGTGCATGCAGGGAGCGGGGGCAGGAAGGCAGACAGAATAAGCTGGGTTACCAAAAAGTGCACCGACCAAATAAGTCTATATAGTGGGGAAGGGTGTGTGTGTTTGTGTGTTCACGCGCATGTGCATGCAGGGAGTGGGGGCAGGAAGGTAGAGAGAACAAGCTGGGTTACCTAAAGGTGCGCTGACCAAATAAGTAAATACAGTAAGGATAAGAGCAGCCAAATGTACTGTCGGAGAAAGGAATTACAAATATTACGGTGGTGGCTACAAGAAGATTATCACTGGGTATTCATGGTTTTCAATCCAGATAAAGAGATCAATAGATGTAGAAGGGAAAAAAATGCAGATATGAAATTGTGTGTGTGTTTATAAATACTCATCTATCCTCTAGCTCTGCTCACTAAGCGGGCTCAGGAACAATGACATTCCAATAGCAATGAGCCCAACTACAGAAGGTCTTAGTTTATCGTTTTCCCCTAAAAGAAACCAGGGCTCCTTGGAGAAATGGCTTATTCCAGAGTAGGGGCAAAGAAAGAGCAAAACAAGCCTGAAGAGCTTCAGTCAGAAAGGAAAGAAATCCTGGAGAATGACTGGGCACATCAAGAGAAAAGCCAGCTTGGAGGAGCTCCCCCTGGCCAGATTGTAGATAATGTGAGCATGGAAGTAAGAATGCTAATGGATAACAATCCATTGAATAAAACAGGAACCTTTGGGTCCACTGTAAGATTTTAAAAGTGAATAAAATGAAAGTTCAATGAAGAATGAAATATTTACAATCTCAAAATACTTCTACACAAAATACTTCTAAATTACAATGAGAAAAAGTAAAGATTAACATGAAGAACTCTGTAAAACATCTGGACAACATTCACTCAAACATTCAACAACAGCCAAGAACAGTAATGGGAGGTTCAGAAAAGGATTCACATCGCCTCAAACTATCCTTAGAAAGGCCTGCTTGCGTGGATGGTCCCTTTAGCATCTGGAAACTTGGATTTCGGACATGTTCCCACCGCTTGCCAAATAATAAGAGTGTCTCGCTGTGCCTAAATTGTTTGAACAAACAAGGCAGTTTATGCTGAACTCCTGCTTGCTTTCTGGGAGTCTGGAATTCGGGGGCATGGTAGGCAGAGGGTACCTGCGTGACTAGCCCCAAATAAAAACTCAGGGCACTCAGTCTGTAATGAGCTTCCTGTGTTGTCACAATTCAATGTGGGAAGAATTAACTGTCTTTTGTGACTCCACTGGGACAGTTACTTCCGGGCGCTTGCCTGGTTTTCTCTTTGCTGACTGTGTTTTGTATCCAGTTCCTGTAATAAGTCTTAGCTGTGAGCATGCCTGGGTGTTGAGCACTGTGAGTCCTTCTAGGAAATCACCTGTCCTAGGAGTGATCTTGGGGATACCCCCAACACACGGCACAAATCAAGTCACATATGCTACTTAACAGGACACGATGAGAAAAACACTGTAAGATTCCTGTCCAAGATACATAACCTGAATCTAACCACAGCAAAACATGAGACAAACTCCAATAAGGGACATTCTACAAAATAACTAACTTATGATTTTCAAAAGTCAGTATCATTAATGTCAAGAAAGGACTGAGAAACTGTTCCAAATTGAAAAAGACTAAAGAGACCGAATGCTAAATGTAATGTGGGATTCTGGACAGAATCCTTCTTCTATAAAGGTCATTACCAGGACATCCTGTGATACCAAAATAAGTATCTGTTACTGCGGTAACAGTAGCATGTCAGTGTTACTTTCCTGATTTGGATGGATGTGGAAACATAGGAGAACGTCCCTGTTACTGGGAAATATCTATTAAAGTGCCAGGGGCCATGAGGTACATATTAGTAACTCACTTTCAAATGATTTAGGGTAAAAAAGCTTTCTTGGTCTATTCATGCAACTTTTCTGAGTTTGAGATTGTTTCAAAATAAGAAGTAATGATGATGATGATGATGTTTATTATTCCATTTATTGATACCAAACCAGTCTTACAATAACATGCTAAGAGAATGTACAACATCCTATGTAGGAAAAGCAGAAACTGGGGGTGTGGGGGATGGAGAATGGGGAGTCCTATCTCCCTCAACTCTCTTCACCAAGAAAAAAGTTTACATCATCAGGAAAGCCTCAAAGCCAAATATTTTAACTGTACTGGTTTATGATGATTAAATAATCGCTAGACATAGGAAATCACTTGAGGGTACAGAGTTTTTGTAAAAGAAACATCAAGTAGAATATCATTTACCTAGTAATACTTAATGAACATTAACTGTTAGTGATAGAATTAAGAATTTTTACTCAATTTAAATTTTCCTAGATTGTTTTTCCAAGCCCACCTCCAACACCAATTGCAAAAAAAAAAATCACTTAAAAATCCATAAAGCACTAAATTACCGTTTGTGTGCTTCCTGTTTGCTGCGACACTCTTCACAGTAATACTTGTATTCACTGCATAGAGTTTCTGTGTTGCTGAAACCCCTGTGTGAAATTCAAAACAAATTTATTTTGTAGATACCAGGAAATCATTATCCATTTAAAAAATATTCCAGACTAAAAATAATTATTACATTTCAAACTAAATAATTCTACATATACCTTAAGCAGTGAGTAATTGATGTATTTTGTTCCACGTCAACAGAAAGGTCTAAAAAATCTTCATCTTTGCTGCTTATCTGTAAAAATAGTGAATTATCTTTGATTTTTTCAAATACTAGTAAACCACAGTTCCCAATTAACAGAATTAAATGCATTTTATTACTATTAGTAAGTAAACAATTCTTTTCCCTCAAGTTCAAAAGAAAACTACTTAATTTGGATTATCCAAAAGGACACTGAATAAACAACCCATACCAGATGTATAAATAAAACACCAAAGTACACTTTTGACTGACTCTCTCTGGCAAAGGCTAGTATGATGTGAGAGTTCATGATTTTCCAAAGTCTTTGTGTTATTTTAAAGCATGAAATAAACTGTACCATACACACTGATTCTTAAAAAAACATAGGCCAAGACTGAATAAAAATGCTTCACACAGGACATCTGTATTGTTTTGTCATTAAAAAAAAAAAATTTAGCCCAAAATGTTAAATTACATTCTTCATTTGTGACTGACTTTATTTCTCCTAAAAATGTAATATAAAGTTTTGTTTGATTTATGGGTAAATAATCTTAGAAAGTTATCACTTGCTCATGTGAATTGGAATAGGACAGAACTTTAGACATAAATCTTCCTAGCTATATCTATCAGCAAGTCCATCCTGAAGGTACATGTGCAACAGAAGATACGTCTGACTCAGCTCCCTGTGCCTCTCATCCACTCAGTTAAGCAAACACCATCCCACTTTAATACTGCATCGAGATTATAAGCTCAGTAAGTTGTCATAGAACATGTGGCTGTACATAGTATGTATTTATGCAAATGTAAGTAAACCAGGGTACTGTGCAGAACGTATTTTATAGACAGTTGAAGGGAGTTCCAATGGTGATTTTGACTTCCCTTGACTTCAACATTAAGCTAACCGTAGGACCTAAACCCCTTCTCTAAGATGCCATTCCACTGTGTGATGGAAGATACATTAACACTACAAGATAACTGACCTGAGTCTCAAAAAGTCTGGTGAAAAAGAAGGGGGAACACAGACAACTCAGAGAGAAAAAAAGAGAACATGATATGTTTAAGGAAAATACATCAATTTTGTAGAAAAGTGGGTAGGGTGACAAGAGATAGTATGGCAGAGGTAGGCTAAAGCCAGATCAGGCAGGAATTTACATGTAAGCTATAGAGAAGTAAAAGTTATACAGTCTGGTGTTTCTCAAAATCAATTTTGTATTCCTCAAAAAGAAGTCCTCAGACACTGCCTCAGGGGTCATTTGAAATGTTCACTTTTATGATCATGTAAAAACCTAGACACAAAGATGCTCTAGATCACCTGGGCGCATGAATTACTACGTTTATATTTGCAATTGGGTTGGTGCCAAGTGGTCACCAAGTAGGGCAGTATTTCACTCTCCAAAGTGGTTGTGAAGACATCTGGCTGCTATTGGACTAATATGTCCTAATGTCATGTCATACACAATATGGGGAGATCCTAGTCTAAAACTCAGGGAAGAAGTCTAGGGTGGAGATCTGGAGTTGAGACTCATCAGCACATGTGATAATAAAATGGAACAGGATCATGATCCTCCCAATGCAGAGTGAGAAGCAACCGACAATGAAACCTGGGGAACACCCACATTTAAAAAATGGAAAAAGAGAAGCTAATGAATGAGACTGAGAAGGAACCCTCATAGAGAACACCAGAAAAGGGTGTTACAGACACCAGCTTCCTACCACCTGAGACGTTACCAGTTGCATTTCTAAAATACAAGCATAAGGTCCTCCAGGAAGCCCGTCCCTCACCTATCCAAATCCTTCCCATTCCCACCTGGATTAGGTCTACCATTCTCTGGCTGGCATGGCATCCTGTGCATACACATACAATAACACACTGTACTGGAATTGCCTGAACACTGGTTTGCCAGTCTTCATTACCACAGGAGTATCTTGAGATCAGAGGCTTATGTCTTAGTCATCTACCATCTTCTACCTGGCATAGTTGGTGCTTAGCACCCCCAAAAATGAATACTTAAATAGAAATCTAACACAACACGCGTGGCATTGATACAAGGAAGAACTACCAAACTCCAATGAAAGATAGCAAAAAAAGTGGTAAATAAGGGGAGATAGTGCATATACTTGGATAAGAAGACTCAATTTTGTCAAGATATTTTTTTCTCAACTTGATCTATAGGTTCAGCAAAATCCTTATCAAAATCCCAGCAAGTTATTTTGTGGATATCGACAAACTTGATTCTAAAGTTTACATAGAGAGGCAAAAGACCCAGAAGAGCCAACAAAATATTGAAGAAGAACAAAGTCAGAGGACCGAGACTACCTGACTTTAAGACTTACTCTAAAGCTACGGTAATCAAGACAGCATGGTAATGGGGAAAGAACAGATATACAGACCAACAGGACAGAAGTGAGTGCCCAGAAACACGCTCACACAAATAGAGTCAACTCATCTTTGGCAAAGGAGCAAAGGCAATTCAATAGAGAATCATCTTTTCAACAAATGATGCTGGAGCAGATGGACATCCACATGCAAAAAAATTAACCCAGAATACACCTTATAATACCTTATACAGAAATTAACTCAAAAAGGATCATAGACTTAAATTTAAAAATGAAAAACTATACAATTCCTAGAAGATAACATAGGAGAAATTCTAAGGGACGTTTAGTTTATTGATGACTTTTTAGATACAACACCAAAAGTATAATGCATGAAAGAAAAAGTTGGACTTTATTAAAACATTAAAAACTTCTGCTCTGCCGGCCAGGCCCGGTGGCTCAGGCCTGTAATTCCAGCACTTTGGAAGGGTAAGGTGGGCGGATCACTTGAGTTTGGGAGTTCAACACCAGTCTGACCAACATGGAGAAACCCCGTCCCTACTAAAAATACAAAATTAGCCAGGTGTGGTGGTGCATGCATGTAATCCCAACTACTTGGGAGGCTGAGGCAGGTGAATCACTTGAACCCAGAGGCGGAGGTGGCAGTGAGCTGAGATCACGCCACTGCACACCAGCCTGGGCAACAAGAGCGAAACTCCATCTCAAACAAACAAACAAACAAACAAAACTTCTGCTCTGCCAAAAACAGTGCTAAAAGAATGAAAAACACGGACTGGGAGAAAATATTTGCAAAAAACCCACCTGATTTATGAACTAGTATCCAAAATTATACCCCTCAAAAAAACCCACTTAAAATTCAACAATACTCAAAGAAAACAGTCTGATTTAAAAAAATAGACAAAAGATCTGGACACATCACTAAAGATATATAGATGATAAATAAGCAGATGAAAAGACGATCAACAACAGATGTCATTAGGGCCTTGCAAATTAACATGAGATAACACTACACACTTATTAGAATGGCCAAAATCCAACTGACAACACCAAATGTCAGCAAGGATGTGGAGAAACAAGAACTCTCATTCACTGCTGGTAAGCAGGAAAAATGGTACAGCCACCGTGGAAGACAGAATGTTGGTTTCTTATCAAAACTAAACATACTCTCACCATACAATCCAGTGATCATGCTCCTTGATATTTACAAAAAGGAAGTAAAAACTCACATCCACACAAAAGCCTGCACATGAATGTTTACAGAGCTTTATTTATAATTGGCAAAACTTGGAAGCAACCAAGACGTCCTTCAGTGAGTGAATGAACTTTAAAACCTGCAGCACATGCATACGGTGGAATGTTGCTCAGCCGAAAATTAAGGAAATGAGTTATCAAGCCATAAAAAGACATGGAAGAACCTTAAATGCATATTGCTAAGTGGAAGAAGCCAATCCAAACAGGCTGCATCCTGTATGATTTCAACTACATGATATTCTGGAAAAGGCAAAACTATGGAGACTTTACAGGACTCTTAGCTTTCTTGCCTGTGGATCCTCTTTTCCAATGTTATCAAAACCTAGCAGCGCAACTGTCATAGTAAAGACGAGATCAGGCAAAATCATAAAGGCATGCTGAATCTTGGGCGAGATTTCGATGAGGAGGGAAGTATTTGTGTCTCCCCCCAGACAGCCTATTAATTGCAAGGGGATTAAAAAAAAAAAAAGTCATCATAAAATGGAACAACTGGCCCAGCACGGTGGATCATGCCTGTAATCCCAACACTCTGGGAGGCTGAGGCAGGTGGGTTGCTTGAGGGCAGGAGTTCGAGACCAGCCTGAGTAACACAGCAAGACCCTGTCTCTACAAAAAATTTACAAACTAGCTGGGGGTGACAGCAGGCACTGTGGTCCTACTTACTCAGAAGGCTGAGGCAGGAGGATCACTTGAGCCCAGGAGTCTGAGGCTATAATGATCTATAACAGTGTCATGCACTAAAGCCTGGGAAACAGAGCAAAAAACTGTCTCCAAATAAATAAATCAAATGGAGAAACACCACCACCTTGACTGGGTGATCAAAAATTAATTTCACCAACGAGAGGACGATGGATAGTGTGTGCCTACAGATGTGATGCCCCAAGAAGAACACAACATGAACGATGTATTATTACAGCCATGAATGCATAACCTGTATCTAATTAGGAAGAAACATCAGAGAAACTAAATATGAGTACATCTCATTTTAAAAAGTCTGGGGAGGCATATTCCTAAAAAATCTCCATGTTATAACAACAAAAAAAAGACCATGTAAATGTTTCAGGTTAAAAAAGGCTACAGAAACAACTAAATGCAATGCCCCCCTCCAAACCGGATTCTGCACTGAACGGGGAAAATGCTTTAAAGAACACGACTGGCCGGGCATGATGGCTCACACCTGTCATCCCAGCACTTTGAGAGGCCAAAGCAGAAAGACTGCTTGAACCCAGGAGTTCAAGACCAGCCTGAGCAACACAGAAAGACCCCTGTCTCTACAAAAAATAAAAATTCAAAAATTAGCTGGGCATGGTGGCACGTGCTGGTGGCCCTTGCTACTTATGAGGCTTAGATGGAAGGATTGCTTGAGCCCAGGAAGTCAAGGCTACTGCACTCCAGCCTGGGTGTAATGATTTTCAAGCTTCATCTTTACAAAGTGTACAGCAAGTGGGATATCTTCCCCTCCTTGAGGGTACACTGTATGCTTTAGTTTTTAATTCCAACAATGGATACTAAAGGTAATTGTAGAAAAAGGAAAAACAAATTAGTATGCCTCCCTGATCGGTATGATCCTATGAGATTATGTCCTAAGACATAATTTTCACAACATGGTCTATGGCCTCCTAAACTGAAAGAAAATCAAACAGTTCAAGGTACGACATCTTTCTATCACCTCAGGTATTCATTGTCAATAAGCAACATTACATTAAGAACACAGACAGAGTCCTTTTAACTGAAAAACACATCTTTAACTCCAATATTTAAGAATTACAACTTTCAAGTTCATCTTCCATTCTTCTCTTTCTCAAAGAACAACCTTTAACGTAATGATTCAATTTTTCTCTATACAAAATTGTATGATATACTTACAGTTTCACAAGTAAGACATCTGGTTTCATTAGTTAATGTTCCCTGAAAAATCTCATGAACCCACGTTGGGTCTGGTGTGCTGTTATTATTTTCATTATCAATATTACCATTAGGTAAGCGACCATTTTGTTTTTCCTGCTTTCTCTCTTCTTGTAAAATATCAGCAATTGTATTTAGCAGGTAATTTAAGAATTCATGGGCATCTTGTTGCATGTAGTTGTCAAAAAGCTCTGAAAATAAAAACATAACATTAGATAATTATTTCAGAATTAAAACTTCATAAAAAACCATTTATAAAAGAATATCTAGTATTGGGTCAAAACTAAAATATAAATGCACAAGGTTTTTGTAATGTATAACAAATAAATAACTTTCACATCTAAAACTTTTATCTGTATTTGGGGAAAATAAATGTAAAATTAATGAAAATCTTGTTTAAACATACTACTAATTGATCCATGAGAAAAGGGCAAAACCTATCCTCATACATTAGCATAACAGATACTGAGAATTTAAGAAGAAATTGCTTATTAGCTTACCTAACCTATTATTCCACAAATATTTCAACATGGCAAGCTTTAAAGCAGAAGTTGACAACCATTTGCCAATGCCAAGCCAACTGCTTAAGACCCACCACAAAGTTTATTAAAAATAAAGTACTGAACCGTACATCCCAGGGATTCTGATTCAGTTGGTAAGGGGTGAGGCCAGAATGTGGGGCTTTTCAAAGCTCCTCCAACTAACTCTAATGCAGAGTCAGGTTTAAGAATCATGTTATCAAGAATTATCTATGTAATCTAGGTAATCTCAAGTCCCTTCCAAATGTGAGATTTTGTAATTCCAAGAAACATTTCCTGCAGTTACACAAGTGAGTAAATATAATTGAAATACTGGTGGTGCTAACATCAAGTGCACTTTACCCTGTGCTTGGCAATACACCACTCTACCAAGAACAGTAAGTCCAACGCCCACTTGCTGGGCACTTTGTAAAGATGAAGCTTGAAAATGGCTACACCCAGGCTGGAGCGTGGTGGCCCAGAAGTAAGGACTTCAGAGGCAGTATCTCATTGGATCCCCAACAACCATGTAATACTGTTACTAACTTTATTTTTAAACATGAAAATGGGACCAGAGAGGGTACAGTCACACTGCCAAGAAATGGCAGAGCCAGGATTCAAACTGGGCAGCCTGACTCCACCATGCCACACACAAAGTAATGCCCAGTGTGAGCCCACATACATGAACTGGTCAATAAAATGCATTGAGAAAACCTACCTATTTAGGACATTTTATTTTTAGATTCTCAATGTACATTTAATAAATTTCAGAGGAGTCATTTTACATTTTAAAATAGGTAATTTTACATTTTAAAAATGAATGCATACAAATTTAGAAAAAAATTTAGGGAAAGTCTAAGATAAAAGGAATTAACAACTACATTTTAGAAGAGATACAGATATGACTATATAAAATTAAGTTCTATGTATTAGAAATCTTTTAAAAAGTTAAAAAAAGTGAAATCTGAAAATTATTAACATTTTCAACATATAAAAGCAAATCTCATATAAAAGAAAACCAAAGTGGGCAACAGACTTGCAATTGATTGATAAGAAAAAAACAATCAAAAGACTAAGAAACATGAGAAAATGTTCAATCCCATGGTAAGTTAAAAAAAAAAAAAAAAAAAAAAGCAGGCTGAGCTCAGTGGCTCATGCCTGTAATCCCAGCACTTTGGGAGGCCAAGGCAGGTGATCACCTGAGGTAAAGAGTTTGAGACCAGCCTGACCAACATAGTTTCTACTAAACACAAAAAATTCACTGGGCGTGGTGGCGCATGCCTGTAATCCCATCTACTTGGGAGGCTGAGGCAGAAGAATCGCTTGAACCTGGGAGGTGGAGGTTGCAGTGAGCCGAGACTGCGCCACTGCACTCCAGCCTGGGCAACAAGAGCAAAACTCCGTCTCAAAACAAAACAACACAACAACAACAAAAAATCCAGAATACCATCTTTCTTTGCAAAGTTATTGTAAAAACAGAAAGGGAACAGTGAAGCTATTTATGGGGGTGGAGGACACAGCTGCTAGAGCAAGGCTGTCTGGGTTGGTGCTATGGTTCTACCTCTAACTGCACACGTGGCATAGGCAACTTATTCAACCTCCCTGTGCCATAATTCCTCATCTGAAAAATGGGGCTCACAGCAGTACCTACACCTCACAAGGCTGGTAGAAAGATTAGAAGGGCTTAGAATACAACAATAGGTTTTGTATTCTGTTCAACAACCACCACAGTAACAATATTGGCAGTATCACTACAGGTTGAGTATCCTTTATCCAAAATGCTTGGGACCAGCAGTGGTTGGGACTTTAGACTGCTTCAAATTTGAAACCATTTGCACACACATAATGAGATATTTTGGGGATGGGACTCAAGTCATTTGTTTCATATACACCTTATAGTCTGGAGGTAACTTTATATAGTACTTTTTTTTTTTTTTTTTTGAAACGGAGTTTCACTCTTGTTGCCCACGATGGAGTGCAACTTTATATAGTATTTTTAAAAACTTTGTGCAGGGAACTAAATTTGTGTACACTGAACCATCAGAAAGTAAAGTTGTTACTACCTCAGCCACCCATGTGGCATCCTGCAGCTCAAAAAGTTTCAGATTTCTGGATTACAGATGCTCAACCTATATTGTTGTTGCTACTGAATAAAATACAAAACACATCAAAGACTGACTACGTAAAAATTATGAACTTCTGTATGGCAAAGTCAACATAAATAAAGACAAGTGACAAACAAGGAGAATTATTTGCATATTAATATCCAGACTATGTAAAGGCTTAATATATAGAATATTAAAAAAAAAAAAAAACCCTTTACAAAACAAGAAAAGAAAAAACCAATTTAAAAAATAGGCAAAGGAAAATAATAGCCAATTCAGAGGAGAAATATAAATGCCTATATAATACATGACAAGGGACTGGGAAATAAAAATTAAAACAATGACAAAATATCATTTTGCCCATCACTTTGGCACAATAAAAACTGACTCAGTGTCCATCCAGTGTTAGCTTGAGTATGGAGAAATGGACATTCTCAACTGTTGCTGCTGGGAGCATAAACTGGCATGGCGTGTTGTAAAGGCAATTTTGGTAACACATTTAAAATAATGCAACCTCGTTCTCCCAGGTGTCGATGCCAGGTAAGTATCTGTGCATGTACCGAAACAAGCATAATACGGCTGCTTATTTATAACAGAAGTCTGAAAATATCCTAAATGTTTATCAACAGGAGAATGATTTATTTAAATTATGCTATAATTTTGTTAGGGAATGCTGGGCAACGGTTAAAATGGAAGCAGTTCCATATGAATTAACATGGCAAAACTTCCAAGACAGAAAGCGAAACAAGGATGCTAAACACATGTGGATCCCGCTCACCAAAAACAAACCGGCTGGGCGCAGTGGCTCACGTCTGCAATCCCAGCACTTTGAAAGTCTGAGGCGGGTAGATCACTTGAGGTCAGGAGTTCGAGACCAGCCTGGCCAACATGGTGAAACCTCATCTCTACTAAAAATACAAAAAGTAGCCAGGCATGGTGGTAAGCACCTATAATCCCAGCTACTCAGGAAGCTTAGGCACAAAAATCACTTGAACCTGGGAGGTGGAGGTTGCAGTGAGCTGAGATCACGCCACTGCACTCCAGCCTAGGCGACAGAGCGAGACTCTGTCTCGCAAAAAAAAAAAAAAAAAGAAAAAGAAAAGGAAACAACCACTGTAAGTCCCCATAAAAATGTAACTGTGGCTTCCTACTTGGACATATGTATTTAAATACATAGAAAAGGATTTGGTAGGATCAGGGTATTTCAAAGGAACATGAGACTGAGAAGCTGGGGAGGAAGCAGAGTACTCAGGGAAACTTCTAGGTTTGTTTGGTACTGAAATTTTATTGTAAGAATGTATGCATGTATTATTTGTATGCTTAAAAATAAAATAGAGCTTTCCATGCAAAAAGTCCACTTCCTCGCTCCCTGTCCCTGCCTGTTACACATTTTTTTAAGAGGTGGGGGTCTCGCTATGTTGTCCAGGCTGATCTCGAACTCCTAGGCTCAAGCAATCTCCCTGTCTGTTGCATACTCTTCATATACAATTACTTTCCAAACCCTTTCAATTTTAAAAGTTCATTTCCTGCATGTCTAGTCTGTTCCATTTCCATTTAAATCTACCTAGTTCAAGTCAGCTCCCTTCACTTAACCCACTGAGTCTCCTTTCCTTCAGTTTCACACTGCAAATAGACAAGTTTAATTTATAGACCCTGAATCTTTCTCCCTAGGAATTTTCCCTGACATCTCTTGCATTACATGGTAAAATTCACAATAATTTTTTCATGTTCATTATTTAGTTATTTTCATATATCCAAATCCATTCCACAAATTTGGGTCTCAAATAAAGTACAATAATATTAAGAATGCAACTGAAGCCCAACTAAGCCACAGTTCACTTCTCTGCTGTAAGTTTAGCCTGAGGGACCCATCAGCCTTTAGCAAAATTCCCATGTTATGCTTAAGAGCAATAAAAGTCATGAGTTCTAAGTGCTCCGTAGTGGCCTACGTGGACTTAACAACTAATCTTGAATTTGGTACATTGTGTGGGTTTTTGTCCGTAAGAGACAGTAGATCTAAAGCACTGGGACGCCATTCCCTTCACCCTGCTCAGAGCAGAAGCCTATGCAACCTCTCCCAACGCTGAGCCTGAAACTCAAAAAATCTTCTCAGCAGTCCACTCCATCCCTCCAAGGCTGGGCCAAGTCGTACATAGAACCTCACACGGTTTCACCAATTGGAAAAGTCTAGACCACCGCTGAGCTAACTGAAGTAAATTATCTAACCTTGCCCCTCAATGCAGTAATCCTCCATCCCTGAAAGTAATAAACACTTCCCCTCTCAACCTCAATCTCCTATCCTCTGCTACTCTCATTTGCTTATTGTACCTTATTTCCGAATGGAAATAAGGGATTTCATTTGTTCCCAACCCTTTCTAAGTTGCTCCTTCTAGGTCCTGCATTCTGTTCTAAACAAACTCCCTTGCCTTAGCAACCTTTGGCATTTTCTAGTTTCCGACTGCTACTTGCTCTCAATCACAAAAGTGCCCAAGATCCAGCCATACTATGACCCTCAACCCTCCTCTCTCTGAGGCCATCTCCCAACCTCCTCCTCATCCACTGACAGCC